TTATTATAGGGAACTCAGGTATTCAGGGAAGATGTAGTGCAGGCAGATATCGAAGCTGGGCTTCAGGTGAGGCTGGAATTATGAAGATAAAATATGGGATTTTTTAATGTTTCATAACAGTGTATTTGCTATTTAGGAGGCAGCCAATGAGAGTCACTCTCAAGAAAGTGCCAGGGACAGCATATTTGAGATAGGTTGTTAACCATATCAGCCTGATCCTGAATACAGGATATACTTACTATCTTATTTACTATAAACATTTAAGCCATCTTGTGGACAAAGTTAGAATGAACGCAACACAAAACTCAGAAGCTCTGATCCAATTGATTTTGTTTTAACTATTAGAAAAAATCCTTAACTGCTCCTCATTCAGTCTACAGCTGAGTTTAGTATAGAAGGGTTGTAGTGAATGTCCCCACCAAGATTGGAACCAAACCTACACCATTGGTGCCGGAGGTATAAAAACCACAATATTTTGAACCCAACAGCTTATACCATCTAGGTAGTGTTTCACTTGCTTTTATTTTGGGTTCAGTCTCATCTTTAGATTAACTTTTTGGAAAGAAAAGCAAAATAGACATGACTATCCTCACTCAGCCAAACAGTTCTCAGCCCAAAAAAATGAAAAAGTGACTTACAGAGATCTTTTGCTAATATGATCCCTGTTAGCCTGGCCTTAGCCATCTGTAAACTCCGGTCCATTATCATTTCCCTACATGTACGTCTGGGTCTGATCTTAGTGGCTGCGGTTACCTCGGTTGAATCCCCTCCGACCATTCATCGAGTCGGAGAGGCGGGTGTTGTAGATAGGTGTCGGTGACGTCAAGAGTTTGCGGCCAATTTGCTGGTTGTAGTTTGGCAATGGCGGTGAATACAATAGTAAAGTAATTTCTTCCGGTTCGAACAAATAATAAGAAATTGAATCCGGAGCAAGAAGAATGTTTAGTAGTTGTCATTGCTGGCAAATATGTTGTGGCTCTACTGCCCACGGGCTCCGTTAGTGGCAAAGGAAATGGCTTGGCTAAATGAAAACTGCCAACGCACTCGGGCGCATTACATACGTCTTGGCAAACTCAGATCCAATCAATTTAATCTGCAAAAACAGTCAACTCCTCCCACTTGTTAACGGAGGTCAATTTAGCAAATCCAGACCATCGTACAAAATTAAATGAAATGACGGTTATGATAGGTAAGACCAGGCTAGATCACTGTAGTATACCCTAGTATGTTAAATATAACATGTTTTCTAATCAATATGAAGACAGCATGTTGTGATCTTGTTTGATCATAACAATTGACTCTTACAATTCAATTTGGAGAGACGTGAAACAAGAAGCTTTTGAGTATTTTATTTAGGAGGAGGTTTTGGCGCCCTAGGCCCCGGTGCGGCCTTCAGAGCGGAGGGCCTCCATGCGAAGGAGCGTGCCAATCCCCCGGGACCTAGGCACTGGTGGCGGCATTTGGCAGCGGGAAGCAGGTTGAAGGCGGATTGAAGGCAGGGTGAAGAGGAGGAGGAGGGGAGGCGGTGGTTGCAGGCTTCAGAGGCCGAGAGTGGGAGTTTCTCCGCTTTTAAGCGGCTTGCCTGGCTGGACCGGTGATTGGAAGGGGGCGTTTGCAGCGCGATAGGCTGGGGATGAGAACCGGCCTGGAGGGGTTACCTTTGGCTGACGTCTACCAAATTGAACTTTCGCTGGCTGCATTTCAATTTGGAGAGACGTGAAACAAGAAGCTTTTGAGTATTTTATTTAGGAGGAGGTTTTGGCGCCCTAGGCCCCGGTGCGGCCTTCAGAGCGGAGGGCCTCCATGCGAAGGAGCGTGCCAATCCCCAAAAGCTGTGTTGATGGAGTTTTTTGCAGCCTGGTTTGGAGGGGACAGAACGACGAGACTACTCTATGCTGTGACCGCTATTGCTATATACTGTGACCGCTATCGCTATATACTGTGACCGCTATTGCTATATACTGTGACCGCTATCGCTATATGCTGTGGCCGCTATAGCTATATGCTGTGGCCGCTATCGCTATATACTGTGACCGCTATCGCTATATGCTGTGACCGCTATCGCTATATGCTGTGACCGCTATCGCTATATGCTGTGGCCGCTATAGCTATATGCTGTGGCCGCTATCGCTATATACTGTGACCGCTATCGCTATATACTGTGACCGCTATCGCTATATACTGTGACCGCTATCGCTATATACTGTGACCGCTATCGCTATATGCTGACGACCATCATGCGCTAACCATTTTTTGCTATATACTGTGACCGCTATCGCTATATACTGTGACCGCTATCGCTATATACTGTGACCGCTATCGCTATATACTGTGACCGCTATCGCTATATACTGTGACCGCTATATACTGTGACCGCTATATACTGTGACCGCTATATACTGTGACCGCTATCACTATATACTGTGACCGCTATTTGCTGTGACCAAACTTGCGGATACTCAGCTGCAGCCGCCACCAGGAGTTTAGCAAGTGTTTTATGGAGATGCCAAAAGCCGCTGGGCTGCCAGGATGGTCGAGGTGTCAGGCCTGATGTATGAGGAGAGGGCCGATGATGACCAGCGGCCCGGCTGCTGAAGGGCGGAATGGGGGAGCCCCAGTGACGCGGCGCGCGTGGCGGCGCCTATCCGAAAGGAGTGGGCTGTGTAGAGATGGGGAGACATGTTACAAAGCAGCAGTACGTACTTGAGTTGGGCTCTGAACCAGTTGGGGACATAGGGAGGTTATCAGGGGTAAGAAATGACAGTCCGTTGAGATCTCCTTTCCGAGAGCGGAGGCGAGTGTAATGCATCATGGATCGTGACAGCAGAGGGCGGAATGAGTGGAATGCAGTGGGCGTGACAGAAGCTGGAGTAGACTTTCCACGCGAACTGTATGATTTCAGTGTGGAAGGTGAGAGACCCATCGTCATGTAGGATGCAGCGGAGGAGATGAGGAGGTGAAGAGACGGAGGGACTAGTCCAGGGCGAGGGATTCCATGCAGGGGATCTGGCATGGTGATGGGTTGGCAGAAGGGCAGAGGCGTCGGAACTCCTGGAAGTCGAGATTATCACGCATGACGGAGATCCTCTTTCTCTGCCAGGTGTGATTCCGCCGCGCGCAGGCCACGACCACTGGGAATATCTCGTGTAGGGCAGAGGAGATGCTCCGGTGGAAAGTAGCGGCCACGGCCCGGCAACCCAATGGTCCTGGAAAAAAACCCCTAAAACCCACGGAAGGGGCACGTCCGTGTAGAAGCGGAGACCTGTAGGGGCAGAGACATATCGGAGAGGGCCATTGAAGTTGCAGGCGCCCTCACGCTTAGAATCTTGGGTTGGAGAGTAGGTAATCAGGACAGTAGGATGGTCGGGAAAAGCCGTGTCTCGGACCGCATGAAGGTTGAGTGTGCAGTAGTGAAACGCTTATGCAGAGAAGCCATAGAAGGCGAGCAGGAAGATGCTGCGAGGAGGGCAGACGTGTACTTGGAAGAAGAGCCGGAGTTCAGTGCCGCTCAGAGCCGCTGCAGGATGGGCAGCACGATGGGGGAGCCTGCGATCAGAAGAGTGAAGAATACAGGTGTGGATGCCTTTGATTAGGAGTCCGATTGACGGCTCAGCGCAGCTACTCGGCCGGCTGCATCTGATAGAATCAGAAGATTAGGTAGAGAGATGAAGCATGACCGCCGAAGCGACCCTGGGAGCATAGGTGCGAGTCCAGCGCAGCGCGGCATGCTCGGCCGGGCTGCATCCATTAGAAGCAGGATAAGCTTCTGAGAGAGTGGGTTGCAGCAGTAGCAGTAGCAGCAGCGGCAGCAGCAGTAACCTCGGATAATAACGCAACAATCCTGTATCAAGCCGCGGCAGCAGCAGCATCCGTAGATAACAACGGCAAAAAACCTGTATCGAAGCCACAGCGGTAGGATATGTTGTAGCTGTTTAGTGTTTCAGAAAGAGAAGCGAAGTGAGGAGAGATGACAAAGTACATGAAGCAGCAGCAGCACGGCACAGCAGTAGCAGTATGAAGCAGCAGCGGCAGCAGTAGCAGCAGTAGCGGTAGCAGTACAAGAAGCAGCATTAGCGGGAGCAGCAGCACCACGATGCGATTCATACGAACAAACAGACGTGTCACGCCAGCGTGCGCCGCTTGACTCCGTGAGCCAGGTTACGTACGCGTCTGAAGGAGCCGAGCCGTAGAGACAGGTGCAGCCTGGGAGCCTGCGGAGCGGCAGCGGCTGCTTTGGTTATGGCAGATACGCATGAACGATCACTGATCCATGCGTTCATAGCTCCAACACCACTTCACACCCATTGCAGATTCACCTTGGGCCCTTTTTCATTCTGCTGCACTTTCAAAATGCAACAACTGCAGTTAGTTACCTAATTTAATACCAGCGAGCTAGCTATTTAAATGCATGGTTACTGCAAGTGGCAGAACATGAATCTGAATTAATGCACTTTGCTCCTCTTATATCCCTCAGACGATAGAGATTGATGCCATTTAATATGCATTGCCCCTCGGTTAGCTCAAACACATGTGAAACGGAGCCTGCAGACCAAGCACGGGGCGAAAAAACTGGCGCCTGCAGTCAAGTGCGCGGGGCAAAAACCAATCGCCTGCAGCCCAAAACTCCGGGATTAATCTGTCCGCGGTCAGCACACTCACTGTACTCACATGCCAGGAGACTTGGGAAAAGCAACGGGACAACGCGGCACCGCCAATCGAGGCAGCAGTGTTGCCAACTTAGCGACTTTGTCGCTAGATTTAGCGACTTTTCAGACCCCTATAGCGACTTTTTTTCAAAAAAGCGACTAGCGACAAATCTAGCGACTTTTTCTGGTGTTATTGGCGACTTATCTGGTGTTTTGGCGACTTATCTGGTGTTTTGGAGACTCGTGAAGCACGTATTGTTCTGCTGTCCTCAACGTGAGCCCCTCCCCCGTCCCAAAGCACTTACAGGCGGCCAGTCTCACAGTAGCCTTGCGCAGCAGTCCCAGCTACAGTCTATGGGCGGAGCAGAGAGAGAGAGAGGAGACTCAAAAGCACAGGGAGTTTTCAGGCTGCTGCAGACTGAACTTCAGCTCCACCACCACCACACACATCCAAAGCTCCCCGGCCACTCCTACCACCGCCACCCCCCACTACCCCCCACTCCATCCGCGGCAGCTCTGTCCGTGACTCTGTTTTCTCTCAGTAGTGGGTCACATTAAATCATTTGTTATGCCAAACTATGAAAAAAAAAAAAAAACTTACAAAAATAGACCTAAGTAACTCTGCCAGAGTGTGTCTTTTGGGTCACTTTGCCGGTCCCAAGCCCGGATAAAGGAGGAGGGTTGGTTGTAGAGCTAGCAATTTCACCCTACATAACAATCTTTTGATTACATTTGCTGTTATAACATTTAACAATACAGGACAAAACTGATGTGTGTAATGTGGATCTAGACAAAGCATTAAAATCATTAAATGTTGTTAATGTTGAAATTATTTTTGTACATTTGTAGTTCTAAACATATTTAGGGTGTTTTTACTCACTTTTGTCTCTCCCACGACCTTATTCCTCTCTCCTACAGCGTCCGTTACAGTTATTTGCAAATGGCAAATTATGCAAATTAGGCGATGACGTCATTTAGCGACTTCTAGCGACTTTTGGGACAGCCAATAGCTACTTTCCTTACTGAGGAGTTGGCAACACTGCGAGGCAGGGACACGCACGGCACCGCCAGACCTTCTGCGTGCGGCAGCAGACCACGAGGAACGAGCCGCACGAAACCCGCGGAGGGCCCCGCGGAGCAGCCCGCAGAAAGAGCCCGCAGAGGAGGAGAGCAGGAGATATGCGAACCACAGCAGGTGCAGGGACGCAGAGGAGGAGCAGACCAGTGCAGGGACCAGACCACAAGCAGCCAGACGGAGGACGCCAGGGTCGCGCCGAGTAGCGTGAGTAGACGAAAACGATTCCTCCAGACGATTCTCTGCGAGGCTTCGAGAAGTGCAGGCTTCGAGAAGTGCAGGCTTCGAGAAGGCAGAGAGTGGGAGTTTCTCCGCTTTTAAGCGGCTTGCCTGGCCGGTGCGGTGATTGGAAGGGGCGTTTGCAGCGCGATAGGCTGGGGATGAGAACCGGCCTGGAGGGGTTACCTTTGGCTGACGTCTACCAAATTGAACTTTCGCTGGCTGCATGACTCAACCAACAACATGGATTATTGATTAAGATCAGGGAAGAAATGTAAGTACCCCAGCTTTAACAATAGTGTTGAGTATCATTCTGTGTCACACACATCTGGATTGAAGGCTCTAAAAAAAAAAATCATTGTCCATAAAACAATCCATCTCAGGTATATTAAGAAAGTTGTTAATATTGTAAGAGCTTTATTGTAAACTGCATTTGTATAACACAAATACAACAACAGCAGCTGCCCAAAGTGCTTCCCAGGCACAAAGGATACAAAATAAAAGCACACAGCATAAAATACATACAAATACATGTAAAAAGTGAATACACAAGGTTCTTCACAAGTTATGCACTGCTAAAATCCCAGACCTCCTTGGCTGTAATGAATAAGGAGAAAGCAGCTGGGTCTATTTTCCAACTCAATTTAAGACTTAATGTAATCTACCAGAGCTGATCTGAAAGTGATGCTCTAGATACAGTGAGGTGCATGTGTCCTGTCTGCACCGTAGAGCAGTGAGCTGTGTGATTGAAGGGGGTCTGCAGAGTGGGGTTTGGGGGGTATAGATGGTGCACCGTTGCCAGGCGCTCCTCTCTCGTATCTCCACCTTCTCGTCCCGTGTGGTCGCGTGGGTGTCACTGGGTTTAGGGTTTAGAGTTTATCTTTGCCGATGCAGGAGGGTCTGTTTGAGTCTTGTGAGGTCTATCTAAAGGACAGTGGTGATGATCCAGGAAAATCAACATTCAACAACACTCATGGACATTGGTCATCTGCCCCTTATGGACCAATACCAACGTGTTTTCTGTTTTTTTTCTTGTGTTTGAACAGTTTGATTCTCTGATCTGTGTTGGCAAACTCAACGTTTTTGCAAAGTCTTCAGAGAAAATTGCTACTGTGATTTAGGGCTGTACAAGAATACATTGAATTGAATTGCAATTTAAGATTATTTTTGGAAAGGTGTGTATGTCCACGGAAAGGTTTCACAATTCACACATTTCAGAATGTTTTGGAGTGTTTTGGTTGAGATCATTTCTGTCACAGCATCACTGTTGATAGCAGATGGTTCAGTTGTGTTATAGAATACAAATCCATATAAAACAAATATAAAGCAATTATTTCTATGGATAAAAACATAGCAATGGCCCAGAATGAGTTGAGGGACTGATTGTTTGGCTTGAACCTAAACTGGAACAAAAGTGAAGAGACCTTGTTGTAATGGATATGCTAATGTGGGTGTGCTTTTTGTCATACATCTAATTGCGTGGTGGGATCAAATAATAGAATACATTAAATAACATAGTTGTTTTCTTGAGAAAATCGCTTTTGAATTAGGTGCAACATTCCATGGTAGCCATTAATTCTGCAAGGAAATAATCATTCAAGATCAGTTCAGGGGCCTTTGGAAATGTCCCTGAATGTTTGACACATGTGGACTACAGTACATAACTGCAAAAATAACTTTGTAAAACACATGTCCAATTCAATTCTATTCTATTTTTTTCATATAGCCTCACAAGAGTATCTCTGAGGTCTGAGCTGAAGCTGTTGATTCGCCAACACAGATCGGAGAATCAGACAATTCAAAAAACAGGAAATGGAGCACTAACAAACACATAGAGCCCTTGCTTCATAAGGTGGACAACCAATGTCCGAAAATGTATATAAATATGTCCATACATGTGAATAAATATGCCCAATAATTTTAATAATTATGTCCATAAATGTCAATAAATATGTCCATAAATGACAAAATAAATGGGTCCATAAATGTCAATAGATGTCAACAAATATGTCCATAAATGTTAATAAATATGTCCATAAATGTTAATAAATAGGTCCATAAATGTTAATGAATAGGTCCATAAATGTTAATAAATATGTCCATAAATGTTAATGAATAGGTCCATAAATGTTAATAATTATGTCCATAAATGTTAATAAATATTTCCATAAATGTTAATGAATAGATCCATAAATGTTAATGAATATGTCTATAAATTTTAATAAATATGTCCATAAATGTCAATAAATATGTCCATAAATGTTAATAAATGTGCCCATAAATGTCAATCAATATATCCATAAATGTATGCAAGTAGATGAATGTGCACCGTCTCTATCTAAACATATTAACTGCCACAATAATGAACATTAAGTAATCAAACACTATATTTCATAGTTGGTACGACATTGCGCAACAGATAATCGGTCGAGTTATGGATTGAACGCTGGCCCCACAAATTGAGAATCACAGCTGTATTGCATTAAAGGCACTTAATGAAAACCTTTATTGCTTATTATAATTTTTACGGACTTGCTATGATGGGATTTCCTGCTCTGCTCAATTTTAATCAATATTTGACGTGGAAGAAGAACGGCCGCCTCGTGTATTGATCTCGCAGCGAGTAAAATGATCTCAATGACCCTCTACAATTCTGATCCCTTATTCATGAAACTATGAGCTGAGGGAGAAAAAAAAAGTGGAATAAGCCTTCAAAGCTTCAAATCCTTTCTCTTCATGCAGAAGTTCAAAAGGCGCCGGTCAGTTTATAGAAGGCAGAAGGTACAGAACACAGGAGATAAAAAGGACTGGGGGACAATAGGCTTTTGTGGTTGTCAGCCGAGCAGAATTAGCCTCAATAGAATGTCAGCGTTTTCCCCTGGACGTTTGGTTAAATATACACACGGCCTGAATGTGAATGAATGAGGTTATAGGGACTGACAGACAGGTTTGGATTCTTTTATAGTATTTCTAGTGGAACGACGCTGTTGTGATTCCTCCCTGCTGCTCCTTCTCCTGTTTGGGTTCCTCATCACACTCACCTGCAGAGCTCCACACATGATCATCATTCCAGCAATCACCAGATTCAGCATAAAAACCATCCAGTCTCCAGTGCCAGATTGTTCCGTCACAGAAGTGGTGAATCAACCTTCAGCTTGCCCTGTACCGCTCAGGGTTGAAGTTTATTTTGTCCTGATACGTTTTTTCTTCATTTTTTCAGTACCCAGCTGTGGAGCCTGCACCATCATTCTCAGTCCCGTCATTGGTCAGTCTCTTACCTCCTCTCCGTCGTCCTCTGTCCTGGTCCCGTCCTGGTCCCGTCTTGGTGCTGCCCTGGTCCCATCCTGTGTCCTTTAAACAAGGCTCCTCCTGATTTAGATTTTTTTGTGAATAAACCTTCTGATAAATAAATACTCTGCATTTTTGGGTCTAATAGTTCTGTTTTAAATGTAAATGAAAAAAAAAATGTAACACAAAAAATGGATAAAAATGAACAGAAAAAATTTACACAAATTGAAGAAAAAAAACTAACAAAATTAACAAACTTTTTACAAAAAAATTTACTAAAAAAGTTTAAAGTAACAGGATGTATAGATTTGGTGTTTTAAAATGCATGCAATTCTAGAACACTGGGAGATTTACAGTATCATAAAGTTTGTTATTTTCTACAAAATCTATATTCCTGGATTGATGATGATTTAGTTCACTAAACTAAAGTACATTCTTATCATTTTGTTTGTCCAAAAGTATTGTATCAGTGCGTTGGAGGTTTTGGTCCAGTTTGGTCGGTAACATGCCTCTGGTAATGCCAAAATTTAGAACCAGGAGGTAAAAAAATTGAGAATGAAAATGTATGAATGGCCAAACTAAGATAAAATGTGAAATCAACACGGAAATGTAAATTTAACTATATATAATCATCTTGCTTGTGTTTCATAAAGACTGTGTAAAGAAAAGGGCTTTCATTTGTCACTGTTCAAAGTACAAGACATTTCTTCTAATCAGTAAAAAAAAAAAAAATCATATTTCATCATCTGTTTTTTCAAGTGACTTCCTTGTTTCACAGTGAAGTAAAGCAAAGCAACTTATTTTCTTTTCCGTTTTCATCTTTTGCATCTAAATTATACTCATCTGTCTTTTTCCATCCCTGCAGACGTTGTAGACCTGCCTCTGCAGCTCACTGCCTACAAACCAATTCTGTCTGAAATAAATGTCAAATCATTATTTTCCCTCTCTGCCAGGACTTTGGAGTTTACTATTGTGTGAAGTTTACTATTGTGTGAAGTTTACTATTGTGTGAAGTTTACTATTGTGTGAAGTTTACTATTGTGTGAAGTTTGTTATTGTGTGAAGTTTACTATTGCGTGAAGTTTACTATTGCGTGAAGTTAACTATTGTGTGAAGTTTACTATTGTCCCTTTAGACTTAAGATTTCCACTGTACATCTGTTTGATTCCTTTACTCTATGTATAAGTTTAAAAAGTCCTATTGGAATACAGTGAGCGTTCATACTTGGGGGAATGCGGAGCAGCCAAGCTTGTAGTGAACTTTTTAGGTTGACATGGTGTGCGTGGGGCTTTTGGCTGCTGTGCCAAAGCTGCAGGCAGAGGATGACATTTGTGAAAGACTGGCTCCTGAAAAAACGTCCAACTTCCAACAAATACAGTGAGAAATCCTTGTCATGGTTTACATAGTGCTGAAGACCGGGGAAGACATTGACTAAGATTAAAAACGCACTGCAATGTCATGTGTTTGGTGACCCAAATTACAAGAATACAAAAATAATAATGATTTAATTCGGATAAATAAAAGTCCAAGATGTGAAAACAAACTCGAAATCCGAGCGGAACCAGGAATAGAAAAGATTAGCGAAGAAATTGACAATGGACCGGCAACATATTGAAAACATAAAAGCCAAAAGTATAAAAACGTTTTCTTTAATTATCTTTTTTTTTTTTTTTTTTGACAAATTCCTTTCATTTAGATGAGATTGGATATTATCTTCTGGTAGGTTTGGAATAAATCACAATTGGGCCAAATATCAAGAAGAGATGTAACTGAACAATGACGTAATAAGACTCTAAAACATACATATTTGACCT